TAGTGATGGTTCTATTCTCCAGTGTTAATTGAGGGCAGACTACGGTACAGATAATGAACGACCTGTATATCATAAGGAAACTAGTTCGCATCGCATTCTGCATTACGAATAGATTATTAGTTTTGTTTTCTAGGTCACGTTGATGAGAGAACCTAGGTCTATTAGTTATTTTAATGTTTCATTGCCTCATCTTTCTCTCGTGTTTATATTGCGCTAAGTAGGACTTGGTGCAGACAACCTATCAATGGTATTTTTAAAATTAAAAATCAGTACCTCAATAGCTTCACGGTACAATTAAAATTGCCTAATGGTTATTCAGCTATTTCTTTTGTCTAAATTCACTATGTTTGGAACATTGGTGAAAAATAAATTTCGTATCTATGTGCAGCAATTATTAATCAACCTAAAGACTAAAGTAATAGTTGTTGAGAAATTACCCGATGTAAAAAATAAAAATGTTAAATGCAAGCAATCGTGGAAGAAAACATTATTTATATCCAGGAATGAGTAGAGAAAACTGGAATAGTTATTGAGCTAGCTTTTGTATGTACTTGATCTACACGCCACACGATTAGATCAGGCGGGCTGAAATTGGCGCGCCAAAATCAGCATATTTTCGTATCGTCGAAAGTACAATAATTTCGAACTGTTCCCCATATTTTCGTGGATCGTCCCGATAACTCACGGTATATTACCATAATTTCCGTTGTTGTGTCTGGCAAGACCGCAGCGCCGAGCCGAGACAGTGGGCGACGCCGCGCCGAGCCGCCAACACCGTGGAGGTGATATACCGGTCTGTGGGTCTCCGTGGGCGTATCTCGGTCACTTGAGGTCTAACTTAGGCCTACGTATCACTAAACTACTCTATTGGGTGGATATAGTTGGTGAGTTTCATTCTTAAAACTGGTTTCAAGATAAATACACAGCAAGAGACAAGTTAAAAATTTTACACTCTTTGTGTCAAATTTTGGTCAGTTGAGTCGTAGCTTGCCCCGAAGTAGGATTACTGCGACGCACAAGTAAAAAGAACAATTTGCAAGTCCACACGTTTAAAGTGTTCCATAAGCTAAGAGGCATGTAGTTTGTTATTCACTGACACTATTGGAGTAAGTAAACCCTTGATCCGTCTGAATGGAGACCGGTTTCGAAACAAGTTGTTATCTGCCAAGTCGTACCTAGGAGGACGTCAGAAAATCATTCAAAACATATCAACAAAAATAAACACGACATATATAAAAAAAATAATAAAACAGACAGTGTAAAACCTATTTTGTTCATATTTTGATAGATTACTTTGGCAACCAGATATTTATCCTCTAGTATAGTTTTAATGTTAAGTAGTCCGGATTGCAACCCCTTAAAATACGTCGTTCAGCCAATAATTGACGAAGAGTAGCTTAAATAATTGACATTTTATCCAAGTTAACTGATAAACAACAGGCATTCTTATCTTAATTTAAAAGTGTAAAAGAGTCAATTTAAAACCAAACATAGTAATACTACTAACTAACTGTATTCTTGCTAACAAACTGTATTCCATTATCAATTTAAATCAAACCATTCGCTGCTGTTTACTGTTTAGAAGTTCGGAGAGTTTTGCTAAAGGCTCAGTAAGAATGGGAAATAATGTTAAAATGTACACAATGCTTTTACTGATTGAATTATGGAGTTAGTGTACAGTTGAACTTTAAATGTTTTATATATTCTTTATCCCCTTATCATATCACCAGGCTTGAATCCAAAATCACTCTAACACCTACCATCTATACAATTCATTGCAGTACCCAAAATCATGTCATCACTCACTCGATACTGACCACACCAACGCGACGAGTTAAACATGCATGACAAAGAGATTGTGAATGTACCACGAGCCAAGCAGGTGGTGACCGCTCGTAAAAATACGAGAAGACGACCGGGATAGAATAACCAACTAGGTAACATAAAACGTCAAATCTGTATGAGTAAGTGACAGTAAAAACCGAGAATTGCATGGATAATTTTTATCCGCAATAAAACGCATTTGGTGTTCGGGTTTAGAAAATAAAGCTGCATAATAATTACATTGCAACATTTGTGCAAACTTTTGGATTTTTTGCAACAGTCTACTTAACATAGACCAAAATTCTCGAGAAACGTCAAAACTAATTATGAATTTGCTTGCAGGTTGGATGATTATATGGTAGATTTTAATTACAATTTGAGCAACGAATGTAAACAAAATATTATGTACAACGTATTACAGCATTTGTTTATTGCACATTAGTGTATTTTTCATGTAATGAATGAAAAATCTTTTGCTTAAAAGAAAACAAAATCTGAGTTCAATGAAAATAAACCGGATCATTTGAAAAATAATGTTAAATTAAAATCATTGCAAGGCTCAAAAACTTTTGTTCTACAAGTTTCCTGCAACTTTTAAACAAGCTGGATCCTCATATCATGTGTTGTAGTTGATTCCAAAAAGCATATGTTGGATTGGATTATTTTGGTGATTAAAAAAACAAGAGAGGTCTTCAAGGAGATTCATACAGCAAAAGAGGCTTAATTTTAAGAAGATAAATTGCAGTTAATTCAAAAATTATCTTCAATTAAATTCAATCTTCTTTATTCATTATTTTGTACAATATATACATCGAATAGTGTCAGGTTGTACAACAACTCAAACTAGCCTAAGTGACATCTCATCCATTCTATGCAGGAGACTGAAAAAGTGTTTATGTATTCATTATGACTGTGATGGGTGGGAAAAATCTTAAAAAAAGAATACGGAGCTATTTTAATCAGATATTCTTTTAATTTTTTTTATTACTTTCTTTTTTTAATTTTTTTTTTATTGTATTTAAATATCTTTGACCGATGTAGGAAGGTTTCATTTCAAAAAATTTTGTTTGTTGTTTATATGTTATTATGGAGTCTTTATGTTGAGTATTGTATTTATGAAGGGTTGAAATATAATCTGAAAGACGAGAATCAGCTTTCTTAATTGCCATTAAAATGCAGTCAAAAATATACTGTCCATAGACTGTCAAAATATTGAGTTCAACAAAGTGTTTTTTTTCACAGAGACATCACGCTGTAGTTTTAGCATTATTATAATTGCATATTCTTGTTTTTTTAATATATTGTCAAGATTAATTTTTGAAGTTGCTCCAAATAAACAAATCCCAAAAGCAATATGGGAATGTATGTATGCAAAATAGATTTTACGCATTGTTTCAATATTACAATAAAAGGACATTTTCCTCAAAGCAAATATTCCAGAACTAATTTTTGGTAAAATTTTGTCCACATGGTTATTCCAATCTAAATGCTGATCAATAGTTAAGCCAAGAAACTGAAACTAGTTAATTCGACATGACTGCGGTCACAAAGATATGACTGAAACCAATTTAGAGAATGTTTCGATATTCCTAAAGATTGTAAGTTTTGTAATAAAATTGAGTGCTTTACACTGTCAAAGGCTTTAGACAAGTCCAAAAAAATGCCAGTTGTAAATTTTCCTTGGTCAACAGACTCAATTACAGATTCCTTGGAAGTTGAAAACCCCGATCTTGAAAATTCATTGTCTCTCCTCCTAAAAAAATCGATAGTGGGAAGAATCCCACAACATAAGGGATAATCCTTCCACCCCTACAACCCTTGACACCCGAGAGAGGGTCATCGTCCGAAGCCTTCCAACCGGAAGAGACTGGAGGGCGATACTCGGGTCGCGTAGGAGCTCCATCCGGCCGCGGTGGGCGAGTATACTACTTGGACAACTAACATTCTACTGTATATACTTGGCGGAGTATGCTGTATGAAACCAGGGGCGTAGAAAATACAACTTTTTAATGGTTGGGCTTTTATATATGATAAGAAGCCTAATACTTAACTAGAAACCATAGAAGGAAGAATAGTTAGATGATAATGACTTTTCATCCCCAAAGGATAGAATAAGGGCGAATTTACTAAAGATTGGATCTTGTCACTGCGGATATCTACAATTAAATCTTCATGATCTTTTTAATTAAACATGAAGATATCATAGACAAATAGAATTAAATTATATTTGTCTTGATATCATTTAAGGGATCTGGATAGCAAAGAGTATTTTTATGAATTTATGTCTTTACCGTGGTAATAAAACCTGCGGAGTTTACATAAAACTTCAGCAGACAAAGCTAGAGTCTTTAATATATAATGGTATTTATGATAAAAAAATTATCTTACCATTCCAAATGCAGTAACTGGCTAATAAATTTCCACGCACATTTCCACATGTGTCACAATATTTGAATTGATCCATTTAATCAGAGAAACACTCGATGTATCACTTGTTTATACGAGATACTAAAATTTGTATTTGGGGGTTTTACACAATACTTAGTTGTAGGTATTAGTTTTTTGACAGAAATTAAAATTCAAAACACACTTAAAATTGAATAATGCGTTGAATTTAACATTTATTTCACCAGTAAATGTTAGAATAAATCATTTCTGAATCAAATAACGGCTTACCCCTAACCCCAGCAATCAAACCGTGATTTAATAGTCAATTGGTGTTGTGGGAAATATAATAGGTTCCAGACCGCGTGTCACGGCTACGGAGCCAAGGTTGGGTCTAATCGTCAGTTATTTACTTGATAAAGTCTTCATCGCCAGTGCCAGTGAACGTCACATTTGCAGTCACCCAGACTAATTCTTGAGCAGAAGCATTTCACAATACCTGTAACACTTAACGCCCGACCGTATTTCGCGGACTACAGTGGGAGAAGATGTAGGTTTCAAGGTGGTTCCTCCTACCTCGATACGCCGTAATTAGTATTGAAGGTGCTACTGGCGTTTTGTTTTTCATTATTGTCATTACGTTTTGTAATCGTGTTTCACAATCGGACAAACCATTAGTGTTTTAGTTGAAGGCGAGTTTAAAGATTTATGGCAACAGGATCAGCAGCATACGCCAAGATCTCAATAACAGACACTGAGGACGTGTTGATGACGCAGGTTTTCTGACTTACCTCTTGTTTGGCTGGAACCTCCACGTGTTACTCTTGGGGAAGGCTGCTGTGGTCCCTTGGTTCTGGGCGCACCTGAGCGAACACAGCAGCCTAGAGGCGACCAGCTTGCCGTGGTAGCTGTGCGGTCTCTTGGACCGTTCCTGCGCCGAAGACGCGCACCTTCTCATCCCTCTGCCGCTCACTAGCTCCAACATCACTGCACATCACCGTTCCACTCTCACTGCGAACCTAGTACCGTTTGGAACCGTTGCGAAGTTATCCTGTCACTGTGAAGACACTAGCGTCACTGATAACCGTCACTGATTCTTGATGTGCGTAACTAGTATTTTATCGTTGCAGATCACTGTAATCCTGACACCAGATGGACTGAAGTCACTGATATCACTGGAGTCTTGAATACGCTGCTAGATGTTGACGTCAATATAAGTTGTCGTTGCACTTGGCTACAAAAATATAAATATCTAAGTGTTGTTTGTCGTCTGTGTCCTCACTTATAGGACAAATAACCTCCCTATTGTTACTATTAATTAAGAGATTTGTTGGCCAGTTGCTTACTTATTACTTAAGACTACACTCTAATACATTAGATTGGATACCTACTATGAAGAACGGGTACGATTAAATTAAAAACTACAGTACACTCTACGGTACAATGTATATTCAAGTATGGCAAAATTGTTTATATATTAACACGACGACACCAGAGAGACGCCAAATGCACACCTGTTTGCTACTCGTCTTGTTGAGTCGCGCTGACTTGACATAAGTCTCATGTTGTACGAGTGTGCCTCAGCAAACGTCATCTCTCTAAACTTAACAGTACAAAACGCCGAGTTCTTGCGAGATTATTACCTCGTATATGCACCTTCTTTATTCAATGTGTGCGTTTTTTAACTTTCTATTCAGTAGTGTATAAGAGATTTTAATTCCGAACCTCGAAAATCTTAAGCGGGATTAAATCGAATAATTAAGCTGCTACACTATATAGGTACACTGTACACGCAGGCATTTCAAAGCCACTAGAGCCTTAGGACAAAAGTTTTTAAACGCCAAAATGAGTTGATGAATAAGTAGATTTTTATAAGTTTCGCCATTATTGTTTTGGTACTTTCTATTGCGAGTTAGAACAAAGACGATATTGACGAAAAACTATAGCTGTAATCGAAATAGAAACAACGTGTGCAAACTAGCGACACAAATTTACAATTAAAGATCTTTGTAAAAACGAGCAAGGAGTGGTCTTTAGGCAAATGAATGGTGAAAGGTGTTTTGTAAAGTGGTATATTAACACTGTGTGACTACTGGACTTTCCCACGTACAAACTGCAGGTGCTGGTCCTGCATCATCGCATCACACACGCATTCCAACAATGATTCATTCAGCAGGATCTGCAGTGCGCTGTTTCTACACCACCCACCATGCATTAGCGATTTACCTTACAGTGGGTGGAACTTAATGAATTGAACATATTGTTGATCAACCATGAGTCTTGTTTAATTGACAATAAGTTGAATATATCAATCACACTTATAACACGTTTTCCTAACGATGACTATACCCAATGTATAGGTGAATGAGAGGGAAACTATGTGAAACACTGGAACGGGCACTGACAGAGAGGTAATCCTAATCTTATATTTAATGATAAGTGAGGCTACTGTGGTGTACTACAAGTTGATATGCGGCTATGTGGTGCTGCCATCAATGAAATAAGAACAATCGAAACTATACCTATTTCACGCTACAGCCTTTTCACTTTTATTTATAGTTTCAACAATGTACAATGTAATGCTGATAAAATTAATTGTAATCCACCTAAGTAAGTAAACATTTAAGAAACAACATTATACAACTGGTTACATAGATCTCACTTTATCCGTGTCTTTCGCTCATGCTTGAATTAAAATAAGTCCATTGCAGCGTTACTATCTTCAATAATGAACAATAGTAATGCCCATAGAAAAGCGCCACTGATGTCTTTGGCTATCATCACCTTAAAAAAAGAACACCTTACTAATAAAGAACAAAAAATTCCTCTTTTGAAATTGTGCAAAAACTGCGCGAATTATTTTTTATATTGCATACATAGACTATTTTATTAACTCATTACCTGTTTTCGAGCTTGTTCCACTTACAATAGTTTATTGCGTGAGGAAGATTATGAGACCAAAAAGAGTTGTGCAATACCAGATTGTGATACATGCACCAGACGACATGCATGAATGATGTTTCTCTCGACACTTGAGCTCCTGGTTCTAGACAAAGTGATATTTGTGAGAACACATGACACTTCTAGCTTTCTCGTCTTCATTGTAGACCGTGCATTTACTTTTACAACAAAAGTACTTTTCATCGGTGATTTAATATTAAAAGATTTCTTAACCAAAAGGTTTTTAAAAACTCATATTTCATAGAATTGTTTTCAACCATTTGGCTTACCTTAGTGATTTATTGTTACGTTTTAGTTCAGCAACACGTAGTGCAACCAAAGCTTTCTTCACAAGGTTAAAATCAAACTATATTTGTAGCGCATTACAAATCAAACTAAATACTGTTAACAATATTTAAAAAAATGTTAGCAGTTGAGGCCGAGGATTTAAGTGAAAATCAGCCTACGTAAGACCACCGATCACTGCAATTTTAGATGAACCAGAAACAAATCGAGTTTCAAAATCCAACCGCATTAACCCTAGGAACCTGTGAAACAAACAAGAATAATGTATTTCATAAACAAAATAACTTTCTCTGTAAGATCACACACGTGAACTAAAATAATATTACTGTCATAAAAAAAATCTGTATATAATAAGTAAAACTAGTTCACAAGAAACGAGTTTCCTAACCCTTGTGCTTGTGATCTACTAGGATCGACTAAGTGCAGATATTACCCGCCATTTCCCTCCCCTTCAGTCAGTTCTGCTCTGTTTACCCGCGAGTTGTCAAGGTTGTTTAACGCAATCTTATCACATTGATGGACTACTTAATCAACAGGTTCGCACTTTAACGCAAACAAGCCCCAATTAAGTGGTCGCGGCGGTTTATAAATTAGACCGCCTTTTACTCTTTGTATTCAAATACTCTGGGACGACCTTCGCTATTGTTGGCTTGTTTGGGACCGGTTAAATAAGTGACGCAATTCAGAGTAAATAAGTAATTGGGCCTTTATACTGTAAGTATGGTACTTTGTACTCAATTATCTCAATACTCAGGCAAAAAGGCAACAGCAAGTGGATTATATTTATCACAACACTTGGTGTATTATTTATCACGTAGTAGTTTGGAACATTTTTGACTCTGCAAAAATGTGTATAAAGGAGGACCGACTGTTTATACTATTTTTTAACTATTAATATGATATGATTGAATAAAAACCACAATAAAATTTTTTGATATATTCTTATTTTTAGTTTTTGTGATGTGTCTGATGATGCCGAAATAGCTGGCGAAAGGCCTCATAAAATATCGGTGCAGTGTTATGATTATGGTTTCATTATAGTGAGGAATATTCTGACTTTATATATTGTTTTTCGTTTTACTTAAGGGAATTGCTTTTGTTACATATTTATTTAGTTTGAATTAAAACAGATACAAGAAATTGTAGCCATTATTATTATATTTACTAAATTACCTAACAAGTAGTGATAACTAAGTTCAAGGTCTTTTAGTCGTATGTCAATAGATTTCTATTTACGAGATATTGTTATACGGCTGGCGGACGAATAAAATATTTTCGTCCACTGTAAGGTTTTTTTCCATCTGGCTAGATATCCTGTTTTCAAATGTCAAGAAATTACTTGGTATATTAACCGTTTCGGAAACAATAATGTAAATAACAAGAATGCAGATAATAGCTGAATAGAGACTGAGGTAATTACCAAATGGTCGACAGAACAACATTGCTATACATAATTGCTTAAATACAACATAACAAATAACGCTCAGACACTAACCATGCAGAAAGAAACGTGAACTTAGCCGGTTTACTCAGCCGATTACTTCGAGGTTTGTAATCCTTTTATCCGTTTAACCGGATTGACTTATCGGATTAACGGGATAAGTGAGCATGCAAGGAGCGTCGGCGCTTGTCGTCAAAGGATAGGCCTATTAGAATACAAATTTGTTGTATAGCGGTTCACGATAACTTTTACTACATAATAATGGCTGGTAGTTATCAGAACAAGGTTGTTCATTCCTTAATTAGCTACGTGATTTACTTAATTTGTTTCTATACTATGATTTTCTCATGCGTCCCAACAAAACAATGAAGCATAAACAATGTTTTTCAGCATTAATAATGATACAGCAAAACCAACGATTGCTTTTAGAAATTCAAAGTCGATCGGTTTCGTTAAATTATTTATTTACTTAATAAACTGAATTCAATATACTAAAAACTATCTATATTTATCGTTTATCATTTCGCTTTTAGAGTTAAATTGCATTGGGAGTTTGAAACGATAGTAAATTGAAAGGTCTGGGGCAACGGGTAAAGTATAATGAAAAACATAGCCTCTGCGACCGGCGACAGATCTTTGAATTTCCCACCGGTTAAATCTAAATGCCAGTACTGTACTGTTATTCCCCCAATTTACTAAAATACTTGTAACTGTTTTCATGACCAGTTTGAGGCATATCAATTAAGTAAATATAATGAAATATTTCTTCGGCGAGGATAAATCATAATAGCTGCCGTATTGTAATAGTACGATATGAAGCGAAAAGTAATATTTTATGAATACATGTTTAATGTATACTACGTTCCCCATACAAGACCTTGCTCAAGATTTCCTCTACCCCAATTGTTTTCAGTAGTTTTATCCATTTTCATACAGTCGACATATATCAACCTTGCCTATTTCACGGATGGATAGTCGTGCACTTATTATATTTTTCCGAAATTATATTAATCCAATTTTTGTGGGAAGTTTCGAATTTTCCAACTTAAAGCTCACCCGATACAAGTAACAAGTACAATACTGGAAGGTTATCGTGCTACATAGTTGACCATAAAGCCTTGTGTAGGTCAACAGTCTGCGGTGATTACACCAGTGTACACAGTGTACAAGACGTGTATGAATGTCCCATTGACCACAAACAGGCGTTCATGAATGGCTCAGGCAGGAGAGGGGGGGAGACGTGCCCCGACTAGAGATGAGGCTCTTACTGGGATACAGACTTGGGAATCCAACCCGAAGGTGGGACATTTCAATCTGTCGTTTGACTGTTCGACAGAATTTTTGTTTACAAGTACATCAAACCTTGATTATTCTGGACATCCATTTGTCATCAGTTAGTAAGTTTCTTACAATACATCCACTTTAAAGTCTACGATCATCTTCGTTATAATTGCGCCACACTACTTTGACCGTTAAGATATCTGCGGAAGAGATTTTGTTCGAAATGCAGTACAATATTCGAATTTTTTCGGTTAATCGCATTTCAT